CCCGTCAGAGGGGACATTCTCTCCTCCTTTTTTTGTTTATTACTCTCTTGTTACACCTCTAATCTTCGACACTTATATGACCGTGTTGTGTTGCGAATGCCGTAAAACTCTTGCCAAAACTAAAATACGTCATATTTTAGGCATTCTTTGGACCCATATTTTGTTTCGTCTCTGCCGTAAAGCTCTTTCTAAAAGTAGAACTTGCTTGCCCATGAAAAAGTTAACTGTATTGCAACTTGTAACCCTCTGCTGTGTGTCTCTCCCCAGAGCTGTATCAAGAGGCACAGCTCCTACCATGGACCGCCTGGTCTGGCCAGCAAGTTTCGCGCCCACAAAACCGTGAGGCGGCCTTCTGGATCTTATACCTATCTCAGGTCAGTGCGTCTGTCTGTTTACTTGTTTGTTGGTTTGTTTGTCTGTACACCTGTCTGCCTGTCTGTCGGTCTGTCGTACAAAGACATTAGGCCGCATTCTATATCTTATACCTGTCTCAAGTCAGTACATATGTCTGTTTACTTGTTTGTTGGTTTGTTTGTCTATACACCTGTCTGTATGTCTGTTTGTCTGTCTGTTTCACAAAGCTTATGCGTATCTAAGTCGATGCGTCTGTTTGTTAATGTATGTTGGTTTTTTGTGTTAGTGTGTCTGTTTATGTGTGCGTATGTCTGTCTGTTATTTATATGTCCGCCTTTATGTCCTATGATACAATCTGTCTGTGTGTCTGCCTGTTTATAAGTTTGTTTGTCCGGGGGGCTGTTTGGACCCTGTACGTTCTTCTAGATTGTCGGTTTGTTTGTCTGTCTATTTGTCCCACAGAGCCGTTAGGTGTGGGATTTTGGCGGGTGTCATGGTGTGGTTTGCTCCTTCTTTCCTATCAAACATCTATCGTCTTTTTTCCCCTCCTCCTTTTTTGTGTGTGTTACTCTCTTGTAGTTAGCACTTCTAATCTTCGGCACTTAAATGGCCTTATTGTGTTGCAAGTGCCGTAAAACACTAACTAAAACTAAAACTGAAGAGCCGTTAGGATGCCCTCAATTTCTTATAGAGAGATCCCTGGTCAGATTGTCTTTTGATTTCTTTGTCCGTCGCATATTATATGTCGTATGCCGCTCCAGTTTTCTGACGGAAACCCCAGAAGCAATGGTAACCATAACACAAAATTACTGTGGCTCATCAGTCACCGCTGCATGCAGGAGCCGGGAGTTGTAGTGAAGGAAGGCCTTTTTATCAAGTATTCCTTTCTTTCAGTAAGCATTTCATCGTGGGTGGTTAGCTGATGCTCTGGTGTGGTTTGCTCTTTCTTTCCTGTCAGACATCTGTCAGTGGGTGGTTGGCGGGTGCTCTGGTGTGGTTTGTTCTTTCTTTCCTGTCAGACATATGTCAGTGGATGGTTGGCGGGTGCTCTGGTGTGGTTTGCTCTTTCTTTCCTGTCAAACATCCTGTCGTCTTTGTCTCTCCTCCTTCTTTTAATATGTGGTAGTTACTATCTTGTAACACCTCTAATCTTCGGCACTTATATAACCGTATTGCACTGCAAGTGCTGTAAAACTCTAACTAAAACTGAAACGTAAGGATTTCAGCGTCACTTCATTTCTGTCCCTGCATCATATCACAGGCCACGAACAAACACTTCCGCCGTACACTTCACTATCCAGACCTAGCCTGTTGATATTCCAGTTTTTCCCACTTTTCGGAACATCGTACCCTTTGACCCTTATCCCGGTTCCATATTGTGGCCTTCCCATTGATCATTTGCCCTGTGGCGTAAGGACGCGTCCCTCCCACACAAATCGTTTAGCCCTTTACTGGGAGAGTCGAAGCTACCGTTCTACCTTTTTAACATTTTTTAAAGGTGTTTTACGCCTCCATCGACACAGTTTAGTCAATTTAGATAATTTAGGGGGGCGTTATTGGCGGGTGGGTGACTCTGGTGTGGTTTGCTCCTTCTTTCCTATCAAACATCTATCGTCCTGATCTCTGCTCGTTCTTTTTATGTTTGTTAATCTCTTGTAACACATCTAATCTTCGGCACTTATATGACCTTGTTGTGTTGCAAGCGCCGTAAAACTCTCACTAAACGTAAACCTCCTTTTTTGTGTTTGTAACTCTCTTGTAACACCTTACTTTGTTGCAATTTCTGTTAAACTTTTACTATTAAAACAAACAATTTAGGAGGCGAGTTTCGACCCAACCTGGAATGAGAGGAACACAATGTCAGTGCAGAAAGACAGATACTAAGACTTGATAAAAATTCTCCTAAGCGCCTAATACGGGGTGCCCACTACGGATGGGATCGGCCCGATCGCCCAGCTCGATCGCCTAAAAAACAAACATGTTTGTTTTCAGTTCAGGCGATCGAGTCGGGCGATCGGCCCGATCCAGCCGAAGTGGGCACCCCGTATAACGACCAGTGACGCTAGTCCGTCAACTTGAGGATCGAAAATATCGTTGTCTATTAGTGGGCGTAAAACAATCCCAACACCCAACACACCGACTCTTTGTAGCGACTCCCAATGCGTGCTGAAATTGGCTTGGTGGATTTCCTTTAAGTGTGGCTGCTTCGGATTTTCGTTTTCCCGAGCGTTGGGTGCTGTTCGCCTTCAGTGTGACCGACCGCGCCTTCAACATCAAAGAATAACAGCAGTTAGTGTGCACTCAGTGCTCCTCTACAGCTGGAAATTTTTGTGAAACCAAATAGCCTTGATGTTGCCATAAAACCGGTGACTCCAAATCAAGCCATGTGTCTGCAAATGGCAGTTTAAACTGGGGGGTTTTTTTTTCTGTTTTCTTTTTTTAATGTCTCAAAATGGAAGTGGAGCTGATTGCAGGCTGTTTCTCCTATCACCTTCTAGCGCACATGGTTGAAGTCCGGGTGTGGCTGGTGTTTGGGGAACGTACCCGTGTCTGAGTGTGTTTGTGTGTGTGTGTGAGAGAGAGAGAGAGAGAGAGAGAGAGAGAGAGAGGGAGAGAGGGAGAAAGAGAGAGGGGGTGAGAGAGAGAGAGAGTCCCGTTGGTCAGTGTCGCCCCCCCCTCTCTCTCTC